GGTCGCTTTTGACCTTCGTTTTATTTATTTTATCTAATGAATTAAGCCTTTAATAAATGTAATTCACTTTTTAGAATTCAGATTTTCAAAACTACAATTAATTTACGTAATAATTCAGGTGATTTTTTTGTTTATTCTGGGTTTTGAGTTTGTAATATCAGTATACTTCAAAGCTAAACTTTGGGATATAATTGAAATTGTGTTGGAAATTCTGCTGCAACATTGGAAGGGGCCGGGGAACTAATTAAAAAATGGTTAAAAAAAAGGAGCGTTTTGGGAGGAGGGGGGACAAAAATGCAAATAAGAGAACACTGCAACCATAAAAAAAAAGGAAAAATTTCATATTAATACCTTATGTTTTAGCAAATTGTTTTTTAGTATCCTTTGTTTTTAATAATTTTAAATTAGTATCTTGATGTTTTAATTATTTTTTAATACTTTAAGGTTATTTTTTAAGATGTAAAATATCAAATTTACCCTTATTATTAATTTATCATAAACTAATAAATTTAGAAAAAAAATTTAATTTAAAGCATTATTTTTATCTTTAATTTTTAAATGTTTAAAAAAAATTCATAATTTTTCTAAATTTATTATTAATTTTTTGGTTAATTAATGAAAATGGTAACTTTGACATTTTACATTCTAAAAAATGATCTTGAGATACTAAAAAATGATTTTTCAAAACGTTTGAGGTACAAATTTAAAATTACTAAAAACATAGGGTATTAAAAAACTATTATGTTAAAACACAGGATATCAATATAAAATTTTTCCAAAAAAAAAAATTTATAAAAGTAAGTGTTACTACGAGAGCAAATTCATGCATGCGAAGGATTAGGAAAAAAAAAAAAAATTTCATCCATGTGAAGGTTGTGAACTCTTTTTATTTTTCTGGAAATTTTCTTTTTTGGGGGGAAAAAGACATATCATAGATATATTGAACAAAATTAGAAGTTGTTATAATCCATTATGCGCATTGGGAGGCTTATCTGTAGAATAAGGCAGGGCAGTGATACTGTGAATCATGTGAACCCAATAAATGAGCTCGCTATCACGCCTAGTGTAAGATAATGTTAAATTGTACGTTAAAAGGAAATGTGTTTCCTATCAATTAAATCAAGAGGATCAGCATTTATGCCAGAAGGAAGCAAATAATTGATTCAAAATAAATAGAATGGGACGTGGTTCAGTTGTTTTTATCTCTTCGTGCTCAGTACTCTCAGTACAACTTGCCATATGTGGCCCCAGTCATATTCGTATAGACACAAAATAATTTTTTGTTTGAAATACATTTTTTTTTGAACAGTTGCAATAAAAATTTCCAAAATAGAGTTATGAATAAATACATTCTATGTATTTTTTTTTAATAAAAAAACTCATATAAAAAAACTTGCATTAAAACAAAGACAAGTGTTGTAGGGTTAAAACAAAGACAAGTGTTGTAGGGTTAAAATAAGGGAAATAGTAGAAAATATGTCAATATGAAAAGTTTAAAAAAGTATATAGGCTAATTTTTAGTTATAGAAATTAATAGGTCATAACTTGTCAAGTTATGGTTCATAACCAGATAAGTTATGGACAAACTTGTCAAGTTATGGTTCATAACCATACAAGTTATGGACAATTATAGACAATAACTTGTCAAGTTATGGTTCATAATCAGACAAGTTATGGACGAAAATAATAATTTAGTCTATTTATTAACTTATATAAACTATTAACCTATTAATTTTAATTCATTTCAACAAGTCTTGACCTATCTCCTTCTTTCTCCCTTAAAATAAAGATCCAATAAAAATGCCCAAAGACCATTGAGAAGGCCAATTAAAGCCCATGACAGCTCAATCACAATGACACGTCATCATCAACATAAGTGGCAAGGGGTAGAAGCTTCATGGAAGCAAGAAGCAGTTAAGGGGCGAGGCTTCAGAATGATATTAAGAAGCAGTCTCAATAAAGTTTACGAGGTCGAGGTCGAGGCCACAGAGGATAGATTCTAAGGAGGCTTGTTCGAGAAGTCATTATTTGTAATTAAATATATCAATTTTAAATAAAAAAAGCCGCTCATTATAATCTCTATCTTTTAAAAAATTATTAAAATGATTATAAAATTATCCTTAATCTAAAATGGGAAAGGCGGCCATGAAAGCTTATAATATATATATATTAAAAAAACTCTAAATCTCTTTTTGAGCATTCTTGTATATTTTTTCTTTAAATTAGTGAATTTTCTCATCTTTCCTACGATGGACGAAGCTCTCAAATTAAGGGTGAACCACTATAATTCTCATATATTCTTATTTTTATTTGCTTTAATTCGCATTTATTTCGATTCAATTTGCATTAATTCCTCCCGTAATTCGTGAATTTATTGTTGATGAATTTTAATCGTCAACACAAAGTAACATACATTACTATACAATACTAATAACCCAGCGGGAAAACGAACGTATACCTGAGGTCCGAAACGGGAGAATATATTGGCATACTAAGATCGAGCACATCTAGGGCTCTATTTGATAAAACTCCTCCCATCAAGATAAACTTTTGAGCGATGGAGGGACAAAACATCGTAGTACTAAGGCTACACCAAACACCGTTAAGAAACCAATCCAATGGACATATAAAACAAACCAAGACAATGGGAAAGCCCCGGTTCTACAGTAAAGAAAACACACACAAACAAAAACACAATAAATAGAAAAAACTCTAAAGCCCGTTGTCAAGTGACTCCGAAAAGGAGGCAATCACTGAGAGCACCACCCGGAAATACAAAGGACTTTGAAGGAGTTACGGTGAGGTCAAGAAAGCGACGTCAAATTATAAGTGAAACTCACCCTGCATAGTTGCCGCCGGTAATTGAGAACACCACCTAGAAGAGAAGCCCACTACTGCACGAAACAAAACGCCAAGGGAGCACGGCAACCATCTAATGAACATGTTAGAAATAACAGCCTAAATGAATGACCCTATTTTCAATGCGTGTCAGATCTGCTCCAACAAAAGCGCCACTCCACACACTACTACCCCCACAGAGAAGACGATGATGAGACGAGTCTGAGGACTAAGTTTTAGGGCCGGAAGCTCGGCGACGCGTCCAGAAGTGGCACTGGAGCTCCGGCCAAACACAACACTCCAAAGAGTGACTTTAGAGACAATAGAGAGAGAGAAAATAACTTTTTTTATATATACATTCATATATTTAAAATATTCGATAAACTCATTCAGATGTCTTTTTTTTTATGGCATAAATCAGCTGCATCTTTTACGTGAAATATGAGCAACTTGAGGTTTTTCCATTAAGTTTATTTATTTTTATTTCGTGAGTTGCTTATTAAATGTTTAATACACAAATAAAGGTAACAAAATATAAAATATAAGCTTTTCCTAGTACAGATAAGGTCATCCGACCATGGTCATGCCAAGGTGATTTGATGCCAAGATGGATGTCGATTCGCTATCATATATAAGTGAGCTCTAATTGGTACGTAGGTGGATTTTAATGTTTTATGATAGACCGAGTGGCACTAAGGCCTTGAGACTTTCAATAATCCTTCTTGTTTAGCTGAGTTAGAAGATCCAACAATGTCATTACTCATGCCTTCACTAAGCTCTTTCAATTTATTCTTGTAAAATTGGGGGCCTTGTCAGTTTCCCTATGCTTTATTTCGGCCCAGTTCATTTCGCTGATTCGAGTTTAAAATTTGAGTTTTGCTACAGTAAAAAGTTCTCACAAACAGTCACATCTAACTTTTTTGCTACAGTAAAAAGCTCTCACATAAAATCACATCTCAACTCGAATTAACAAACTAAACGGGCCCTTCATTTATTTGAGCAGCTTGTTGTTCTCTTTAGGTTGGTTTGTGTAGAGCTAAGTTTTTTTTTTTTTTTCCTTCATTTCTTATTATTGACTGCTTTTCTATTAAAGAAAAAAAACACTAAAACATTGCCACAAAGAAATAATAGAAAGAGAAAGCACCAATTACTACATTAAAAGAAAGAATAAATTTGTGACAAATGCTCAAGAATACCACTGATGCTAAGCGCTGCAGAAGGCATGACTTCATAATATAGATCCACCTTATAGCCGTACCTCATAGCATTGTTTATCCAAACAAATGGGAGCACAAAGCTAAAATAACTTATAGATTTGATACTTAAGAATGAGGATGAGTACATCCTGAATGCAATATTGCAATACCCATAACATAGGACCATCTCCACCTAGCTACCACTTGAATTGATTGTGACTGATAGTTTGGCTAGTGCCTAGTAGTTAGCGTTGAGGTGACAACAGAATGTTGCTCTAAGAGAATCAAAATTTCAGAAGCTCCTAAAGCCCGAGCCAAATAAAAACCATGATTTTTAAAATAAAATAAAATAAATTGTCCAGAAAACATGGCCACCTGTTATATGCATGCACATCACACATTACCGATGCCATGGTTGGGTTGTACAATATCCATACTTCTATTGAAGTCCAAAATATTACCTAACCAATCCTACCATTTTGGCATTGACATTAATGAAAATGGTTATCTTTATGCAAAAATTTCCTTCACGCAGGGATTATAACAGGAAAAAATTATGACACTTTATAAATCGGTATACAAGTTAGGCTTAGAATTAGTGTCGGCAACATTATTAACATATATAAAAACATTAATACGTGTAACATAAGCAATTTTATAAATATGTATTCACCTTTCTAGCCATAAAAAATTCAATTCACTTCCAAGACGAGGAGTATTACTTTGAAAAACAGTACGTAAAACAGCTCATGAAAACAACAATAATGAAAACAAAATGGACCGAAAACAAACTCCATTTTTAAGAAAAAAAAAATGAAGAATTTATCGTGAGTATAAACCCTCTACTCTTAAGAAATACTTTTTTATTGTTATAATTATTTAACTAAAAAAATTATAAATTAAAAAATAAAGAATAAAAATCATAATCTATAAACTTTTAAAATTACTCTTATTTTTACCGTTCCTTTTGTCCCCTCTATTAAGAACTTTGTTCAAATTAAACAGACAAACCCACACACTCTCCAAATAATAATAATAATAACAATAATAACAACAACAACGATAATTTACTTTTGTGTTATGTATTTAGCAGAAATCAATTTTTTAAATTAAAAACAAAAAAAAACAAAACAAAACGAGTTTCGGACTCAGTGTGTGAGTCACAGATCCGGTTGGTTTTCACGGTGGGGCACATCCGCGACGCGTAAACCCTAGCCGAGACCTGTCCCTGTCGAACTCGAACAAGAAACCTTGTTGCATCAGATTCCCTATCACCGAAAACCCCGCTTCCGAGCTCACGGGTTGAATCGCCAGACACTTGACTAGCTCCGCAGGTTCAATGAAATAGTTCCTCGGCGGCGGCGAGAACACCGAGTTCCCCGCGAGTCCGAAGCTGAGTCGCGGCAGACCCCGCCTCGACTCGCCCGACACGTTCACGCACAGATCGAAACCCGGGATCGACTCGGCCGGACTCGGGAACCTGACTCGCCGTCTAAACGCTGCCAGCACCAAACGGTAAGCCGGCTCGGAGAGGAACGTCAGAGTAGTTCCGGAGTCCATAACGGTGCCGCCGTTACCCAGCTCGTCGACGGACCAAACGGAGGGGCTGATCGGTAATTTCCTCCCGCCGATGGAGACGCTCCTGATGCCGATGTAGTAAAATGTGGGCGACAGAGGGTTAGTTATTAACGGCGTGAAGGCCATTTTGGGGATTTTCGAAACTACGTCGCTTTGGGCTGCTCCGATCGTGAGATAACTTGTCGGCGGCGGAGATATCGTGTAGTCCATGAGACAGTACGAGAACTTGTTCCCGAATCGGCGACCGAGTTGGGTCGAGAACGAGATGGGTCCTTCGCCCAGGCCCATTACTCCTTGGGCCCCGTTGAAGCTCCCGCCAGAAACACTCGGGCCGGAGGTCCGAAACGCGCACCCGAAGTTTAGGCCTTTCAGTTTCGTCTCCCGCCCGGAGTTTAACCTCAACGTCGTCGTTTCCTTTGAAAAGAACCCGCTTGTGGTGGACCCGTCCGCATAGGAATACTCGTAGCGGCATGGGCTGTGGATCCGGGTCCGGTTACAGGGGTTCGGGCCAGGGACTAGTCGGCAAACCGGATCGTAACAGTGGTGGGGAGAGAATGTGGCGGAGTGGCGGGCGAGGAAGGCCGATCCGGGGCTCCGATTGGTGCAGTTTTTGCAGGCGGAGCACCGCAGCCAAACCAGATCGCTTCCGGTGTCGGCGACGAGGAGGAGCCTTTGCGGCGGAGTTCCGATGCGGAGGTCGACAAAGTACTGTCCGGAGCCGGTGGAGGCGCCGGAGACGACCGGCGATTTGACGGCTTTGCGGTGGAGGAGGACGGAGAGGCGGTGGGAGTCGGAGGAGAGGGTTTCGGAGGGAGAAGCGAAGGGGTTTCGGTGGAGCAATGGGAGTTTGAGGAACTCCCGGGTTTGGTTGTGCTCGGAGTTGCAGATATCGGCGATGCTGATGAGAAGGAGAGTTATGGAGAGTTGGGAGAGAGTAGAGGATAGCGACATTGTTGTTGTGCCGAAAAGAGAGAGAGAGAGGTGTAGAGTAAGGAGAGAGAGAGAGAGAGAGAGGCCTTTTGGAATCAAAAGGCTGGTATTGTAAAATGTACACTAAAGAGTGCACATTTCATGACATACGTATCTGGTGTTGTGTACGTACATTTTTTGCTAATGTATGCTAAACCTCAACGCAGTTAGTTAAGCCAAAGACGTGAAAGTTTGCAATAGTGTTAGTGTTAAAGGGTTTCTTTTGCGACAAAATTCAGAAACAATTTAAACTTAAATTATAATTTTATTTAAGTTAATATTTTTTTAAATTTAAATTTTATTTAATTTTATTTAATTTTATTCAAGTTATAATTTTAACTTAAGTTATAACTTAAATTCAACTTAAAAATTACACTCAAATCACACTCTAAAAGAACAACTCCAAAAATTTACGTGTGTGTGTATTTTTGGGAGTGTAAGATTCAAGCTTTGAACCTCATTGTTAGGTGTGGGTGAATTTATTATTAAGCCTGTAACCACTTATTTCATAACATTAGAATCGTATATCCTAAAAATAGAGAAAAAGAAAAAGAGATGATTAGCATTATTTTGTATGTGTAATGTCATAAGTAATTTACTAACATTATTAGATCTACTATAATTGTGACTTAATCTAATGATTTAAAATGTATTCTACCAATAACACTGTTTTTATTCCCTAGAGATTTCCGCAAAAGAATTATCGAAAACATGAAATGTGAAAATTAAGCTGGAGGGAAAGGGGCCTAGAGAGTAGAGGGTGGAAAGATGCCCCAGGTATTGCTGGTTTGCAGCTAAGCACAGGGACGATGAAGCATGGATTGTACTTTGTCGTGGTGCTGCCTGTGGTCTTTGTGAAGAAAATATAATAATAATTAAAAAAAAAAAAAAAAAAGAGGGGGCAAGGAAAGATGTGAACAGTGAAAGATAAAAGACAAGTTAGCATCCAATGAATAGATACGTGAATTGTTTGTCTAAGGCCATTCTGACGATCCAATAGTCTCGCGCCACGTGTGAAATTCAGACATGAAAAGGAGAAACGAGTGGCACGGTTACAAAATGACAGGCTGGCTGTTTCCCCAAGCAAGATAACAGGAGAGAGAGAGAGAGAGAGAGAGAGGGGGGAAAAAAAAGGTCAATTTATTGCTCATGGGCTAAGGACCTAAGGTTTACTATAACTGAGTAGTCTTGAGTTAGCTCATACCCGGTGGCGGATCTAGAAAATATTTTCAGGGGGCATGAAGTAAATTGAAATTTTAACTAAAATAATAATACAATTATTTTAATTGAGTTTAATTCACTTTTTTACATTCGTGGTTGACAAAACTATGGATTTATATAATATTTTGGTTGATTTTTGTGCTATTTGCTATTTTAAATTTTAAATACACGTAGCTTCAAAAGTCAATTTTTTGGGATATAATTGAAACTTCTCTAAACAGATTAGTACAAATATTACAAATTAAAAATTTCAAGGGGGACAAATTAGAAAGAAGTTTGTAAAAAAAATTTTTTGTTGGGGTTTAGATTAAAAGGAGCCATTTGGGTCAGGGGGCAGCTCCGCCACTGCTCATACCAGTATAAGAATAGATGAAATAACAATATATTTAACATGGCGATTAGTAAATTATAACCTAATTTTCTTAAAATAGGTGCTCAATAGTATAATTTAATAGATTTGGTTTCAATCAACGATTAAAAAATTAAAAATACCTCTCAACTATTTTTCCTTCTCATATCTCTCTTCTCCCCCTCTCCAGTCATATCCACCATGATCGGCACTAGTGTTGATGATCGGCGCCCAACACCGACTTCTGAGTAAATATTATAAAAATATCATATTTATTTAAAAATTTAAAAGATGGTTGATAAATACTGCATTTACTCAGAAATAACATATTCTAGGTATTACGATTTATCCAACCATATGTTTCACCTTCTACATGTAATGCTACACTGTCGTTTTTTGTTATAGCAATTGATTTTCATAGTAATAGATAAAATTTACATAAATAATGTGAAAAATATTACAACACCGTATTCATTTTTATGAATAGCAACAAAACCAGGTGAACTGCGCCATTCTATCTGCAAGATATGTAACTTTAACTAAAACCCACGCTTTAGAACACTCCACGTCAACTTGACTTAGAGTATCTTTAATACAACGTTATAATTAATGTACTAATTACAAATTTAGTATTTGAATGTAAAGTTAAATTTTTAATATAATATTATTTGTTAAGTTACATTTTTACATGTTATATTTTGTGGTAAATATGTCACTAAGTATAGCATATGAAAAATTTGACATTTAATTATTATTGGTTGAATTGTTTACTTTTCATGTAATCATTACAACTTTTATATTTTCTAATAATTTTAAAAATAAAAGTTTACTTTACAATTGATTATGAGAAAAAATATATTTAACATTTCAAATAGCATTATATATTAGAGTAAAAATAAAAATATCATATCACACTTTAATGCAAAATATACAATTAGCATTAATATTTGTATTAGAGATGGCCTTATAGTACACCAACTCTTTTAGGGACATTTTATAGGGCCGGTAATTTTAGACACGATATGATGAAACAATACGAAAATGACACGAGATAAATGGGTTTGGACTGCACGATTATTAATTGGGTCGTTAACGGGCTGGCACGAATAACACGAAAATAAATGGGCTGGATTCGTGCAAACCCGTTTAACATGCTCAACACGTTTAGTTATACGAGCTGTTATTGGGTCGATATGACACGATATGGCCTGCCCGTTTAAAATGTTTTATTTTTTTCATGAATAGGTTAAAGCAACTGAATACTTTTGGAGCATAGTTAGACATTCAACCTCAAAAAAGACATTATCTTATATTTATTTTATGTACTTAAACATTCAAATGTTAATGTTTTGAAACACACACACACACACACATATATATATATATGATAATCTAGTAGTATCATATGTATATACGTGTTTGTTTGCTATTCGGATATTTTTATATGTGTTGGCTATTAGGGAGAATTAGATAATTTATGTTTTTCTTATTATATAACCGCCAGATCTTAACTACAAGTGATATTAAGTAGTCAATTAATATTAGTTTTGTGTACAATATAAAATTCCACTATTTTTGCTAGTTGGATTATAAACGTGTTTTTTTGTGTCGACCCGTCACGACCCGTTTAGTAATCGTATTTGCGTGTGGTGTCGTGTTAACCGTGTCATTAGCATTTCGTGTTCGTGTTTGAATTTCTAACTCGTTTATTAATCGTGTCGTGTTTATATTTACTATAATCGTGTCGGCCTAAATACAACAAGTCAATACGAATTGCTACCCATACATTTTTATACAATATATATATATAACACAGGAGGGACGTCCCCGAGAGATGGAAGCCTATATATCCCTACAAATGTATATGTTTTTTAATTTAGTATGGAAAAAATAAAATTGGTCGATTGAGAATCCAATTTTATTAATAAGGCTACCTTAATAATTATTCTTATATTTTTTAATGAGTTGATTTTGGCGCAGGCCAGATTTTGGTGTAGGTCAGATTTGGTTGATAATAGTTCTTACAATAGTTCTTACCGACTTCAAAAAACGCAATGTCGTTTTCGGTTGTCGTTACACACTGTCGGATTATATCTTAAATGGCTCAAATAAAATAGAGGAACTATCTCTGCTTTTGCGGCGGAGGGACGGAAGAAGATCCCGTCATCTATATCTACATTGTTTTTTTTCTTTTTTTTTTCTTTTTTGACAAATTACACGTCTTCCATCTAAACTACTGGATTTGAGTCCGTTTGGTATTATTTTTAGGGGTTGATTTTAGCTTTTTTTTAAAAAGCTACATTAGATTGAGATGTTTGATAAATTATATTTTTGTGCAGCAGCTTTTAAAAATTATTGTCAAACAACAGAATTTAATGAAAAGGTTAGGGATTACTTTTACACAACAACTTTAGCTACTATTATCTAAATTTACTAAGATAACCTTAATAATAAAACTTAATTCTCACTCTATAAAAACTTAATTCACAATGTACCTATTTACTTTTTCCATACCAAATTAAAAAATATATTTTTTAAAATAGTTATTTAAAACTTGAAAATCTTCAATAAGTATGTTATGTTAAATTTTATTTTAAATATTTGTAATAATTATCAAAATATTTAAAAATAACTATAATATATATGAGTGGATGACTTATTTTTTTCCTTGAATAAAGTAATTTATTTTTAAGAAATATTTCAATTAATAAAATTAAAAATATTTTTTAGATTATGAATATTGACCATAAAAATAGAAATAAAACTAACTATAAATATGTGTGATAAAGTATGTCTACTTTTGTCATTATACATTTCAACATCAATTTTATGCTCAGTTTATCAAACATCTAAATCTTTGCTCTTGGTACTCACAGTAGTTTTGTAAAAATATTTACTAAACACCTATATGTTTCTAGTTACAACAAGTTATTACTAACAGCATAACAATAGTAAAAAATTTTAACAGCACAGCAATGCTAATCTGCCCTTTGTATTAGAGCAAAAAACTATAGACTTTGTCACAAAATGCTCACCTGAACTTTAATTTTAACTTTTTTCTCCTAAACTTCAGCAACTCTTGTAAAATTTTGCCCTCTATAATATTTTTACTTCTGTTATTGCTGTTGGCTGCCATTGATGAACCTCTAAGGTTCCTTAAGTCAAGTAAATTAAGAGAAAGATGGTGCAATAAAAAATGACAACTCCTATTGCGTACTTGCATTTCTGTGTGACTAAACGATGAGTAGTTAACAAATTAATTGTGTAACGAAAATTGTTTAACAACACTTATTATTTGTATGATACATGTTATTTCTATTTAAAATCTTAACACAAGGAATTTTTTTTGTTAGTTCTTACATTTTACGTGACATTTTTCACTAAAAGCTTAGTTGAGAGAGAAAATTTGTAAGAATTGTTAAAATTCGAAGGGAAAAAGTTAAAATTATAAATTGGAAGACATTTTGTGACAAGATTTATAATTCGAGAAAAAACGTATAATTTGTCTTTTTTTTTTCTCCCATATCTATATTCTGAGAGCTAATCAAAACAAACAATTCCCGAAGAAAAAAGAAAAAAAAAAGATTCAGTAGGTGCTGGATGCACATGAGAGAGAAGCAAAAATGTCTCTCTGCCTTCCATGATGGATCATT